GACACCTCCACGTAAATCTGTTTTTTGGTAAAGCTGGGGGGAGATGTGGGCAACCTTGCGCAACACCACACAGATCTCTGCAGCTCTGATATTAATTAAGTGCTGTAACATTAAACTGAAATGGTAACCAGGCTATAAACATTGAAGAAATTGTATATTCTTCAACTAGCGATAAATGAGGTTTAAAACGAGCCCTCACTTATCTCTGCAGCTGCAGGCACTGTGCAGTAATAATCTTCAACATTCACAGCAGAAGTCATTTCTGTAGCAGCTTCAGTTCACCTTGCTGCCACCCCCCAGAGCTCCTGCTTTATGTTATAGGAAATAATCTTAAGCTACATTTTTGTTAAGTTAAAGGAGAACTATGAGGTGAGTGAAAATCACTCATCCTCATAGTTCGAGCCGACGTGTGACAATGAAACTGTCACACGTCGGCTCAATAGATCGGGAAGTGAGCGAACACATACCGTCATCTTCCTGTAGAGAGCCGTGACTGTCAGTCAGTCACCGCTCCCCGCAGGAATTCCCCCCCTCCCCACTCCTCCAGCGCTGACTGGAGGAACGGACGATAGGCAGAGCCGGCCGTTACTCACGCAGCTGGGCGGATCTCGATAGCAATATCTGGATCCGTCCCGGCTGCGGCGGTCTCAGTATATCGCGAGCTATAGCTGTTTTACCCCATAGTTTTCTTAACGGTCACGGGAGGACATATACTAGCGTCCTCCCATGACCCTTAAGAGAACTATGGAGTAAAACACTTACCCTATAGTTCTCTTTTAAAAGGTACTTGAATGCATTTTTATTTGTGTATCACTCGGCTGTAGATCCTCAAATCATCTCTGAATTGGTGCTGACACTGTCCTTCCTTCTGGAGGGTGGCTACTTTTGTTCCCCATGGTCCCTGTGTGTGTTGTGAAGTAGCCACCGCTCCAAGCTCGCTCCTGTAATGGACTACAATCGCAATACAAATTAGTAAACTAAAAATGAGACTGTAGTCCATCACAAGAGCGAGTTTGGAGCAGTGATTACTTTACAACACACACAGGGACCATGGGGAAGAAAAAAAAGTAGCCACCCTCCAGAAGGAAGGACAGTGTCAGCACCAATTCAGAGATGATTTGAGGATCTACAGCCAAGTGATACACAAAGAAGATACATTTTCGTAAAGAGTTAAAGGTACTTGAATGCATTTTTAAGATTTAACTCCTGAGCTTAGTGTCACTGTAAACAACTTCAGCGATTCTGCTATGAATTTGAGAATTAATTCTTCCACAGCATTTGCAGCTACAGAGGTTAGTGAGGGCTTGCTTAAAGCTCATTTATGGCTTGGTAAAATGCGTAAAGATTTTAATGTCCATACCCTGCTCACACTTACAATGATGAAATAACACATTTGCATGTCTTTTGCAAATGGGGCACATGCTCAAATAAGATTACATATCGTGGGCACTTCCAGGTCATACCTGGAAAGAAGAATCTGTAAATTTGAGTAGTTCAGCAATAGTAGGATTTATGTCTTTTTTCTAAACAAGGCAGCAAAGGCTTCCACTGTCACCCTCCAGCTAAAACAAAACTGCAGGATTTGCATGGAGGCTTTGGGAGTATATTTCCACAATATTGAAGTTTATTTCCAACAACCTTCCATCCAGAGCTACTGTGACAATATTAATTGACATGAACGGAGGAGGAATTTGTTATTTTGGAAAGCAGATAGAAAATCACCAACACACATGCCAAGCAGGTCTTTGGCTATTGTCTGTAAGAGGGGAAAGGTGTTGTGATAAAAAGGTGCATATGGGGCTTGTTTGGCCTCAGTCTGGAACACTGTACCAATAATAAGACTTTCTCAGCATTTTATTACATTAAAAAAGTGGAAAAAAAACCAAAACAGTGATGAGGCTTTGCTTAAAAATATAATACCACAACTAAAAAGAAATTGAATTACGGGAATTATAAATAAAATAAAAAAATGACAATTAAATGGAAGTGAAAACAAAACAGAGATGAAGGAGGTGTTATAAGAAAACAAAATGAAAGCTTGTCAAGTAATCATTAGTGCAGGAAAGCTGGGAGAGGGTTAATTTCCCACCATATAAATAAGCCTTACGCTCAACATCCGAATGTCCATAAGATCCCTCAGATGATGTTCAGTGAACACATTGACTGATCAAGTAAAGTGTATGTAGTGCAAATGGTTATAAGAAAAAAAAGGCAAGCATCCTATTTCGCATGCTTTTCCTCACCGATGGGGCAGGCCGCAAACAATGCGCATTTATTAGAAAGGCTGCAAGATTCGCAGGTTACGGCTCAAACCAGTGGTAACACAACACCCTTTGCAAAGTGTACCTGTTGCATACACGGAGGAGGCAGTCACTGTGTGAAGGGAGCAAGTGTCAGAGCTATCAGTTTACTGAGAACAGGCAACAACAGAGGCACGGCGTATAATGTTCTGTTACTGAGTAGTAAAAGGGAATATTTACTAACCTATAGCATAGCGGGAATGTGTGCAGAGCAAACGGCAGTAATTGATTCTGATTCCTATGCTGAAAGATGAACTCTGATTGGATGCCTTGGGCTACTGTCAGGGCCGGTGCTAGACTATTTTGTGCCCTAGGCAAGGCCAACTACTTGCACCCTACAGCCCTCCTCCCACAGCGCAAACCCCCAATCCCCCCCTCACAAGACCCCATTCTCCTGCCGGCTAGCTTCTGCAGGCAACAGGTGGATGTAAGCAGACAGGAGCAATAGCAAGACTGCTATTGACTATTTTAGTTTGAAATAGCCAGTAGCAGACTTGCTATTGAAACCCCACCCATTGAGCAGAGCAGTAGACCTGAGAGAGAGAGTCTCTCAGTTCTGCTCCTCTGCTCAGTGGGTGGGTGCAAAAGCCAGCCTGCTAATGGCTTTTGCAATAGACAGGGGGGCACCGTGGAGGGGGGTGGGGTCAGTGGTCAAGGCTGCACCATAGGCGGCTGCCTAGTTTGCCTAGTGGCAGCACTGGCCCTGGCTACTGTGCATCACTACTCTTTGTATTAATAGAGATGCTCTTCTAATTAAGGTCCATCTCACAGACCTCAGCTTGTGCGAACAGTAAGCTTTTGGCAAGTCTTGCTGAGGCTTTTAAAGCACCCTTCAGCTCCAGTTTGGGAATGTTAATCACAGATCTTAATAGGAATGCCGACTGTCACTTTAAATAAGCTACTTGTTTAAAGTCACAGTCAGCACTATCATTATGATCTGTGTTTAACATTTCCAAACTGGAACTGAACTGTGCTTTGAACGCTTTAACAAAGCAGCTTAAAACGTGCTGAAAGCTTCACAAATGTTTTGTAACCGCTTGCCAAAAACCTGGTGTGCACACTGCTCTTATACAAGCTGAAGCCCGTGAGAACTAGGTGTTCAATGAGTTATAAAGTAAGCAGCCTTAAATAAAACCAATTAACATTTGGCCCTCCTTCCTTTGCAGCTAAGGAGCATATAAAGATGTAAAGCAGCAGTTCTACCATACCCAACACCGTGTGCATGTGACCACCCCATCTACTACATAACATTCAGCTATGTAGAAAGAGGTGTTAGGCCTCTTATGTCCTAAATGTACCTTAGTATCACTGTTAGAACTTCAGTCTGTGAATTAGGTAGGTCCTGTCGCCTCGACAAAAGTTGATTACTCTTTCCACTTTTGTCGATGGAGCTGGGCCAAAAATTGTTGTCCGAACAATGACGGCAGCTGCAGTCACTGATTGGGTACTCTTACAGTGGCGGGCGCTGGCTGTCAGCACAGAACAGCCCGTTGTGGAAGATTCGTCCATTTACGTGATTTAGATGGATGGAGGAATCGTTGCAATTTTCTTTGTTCAGCCCTAAGGCTGAATAAAAGAAATCAATTAGTGTATGGCCAGCTTTAACTGTGCCGAACAAGACTCCCCCAAGGCAGAGCTGAAGTCTGATCTGTAATATTGCATTACTAAGCACAGAGGATGTATGTGGAAGCATCCCTGTGCCAATCATTAGCTGTACTGCCATGGGGGATGGAGTTACAGTACTCCTTGCCTGGCCTTCTATGCTGAAAGAGCAAAGGTTCTAGCTAGGAGTGCACCTGGACCCCTCCAATCACTAATCATATTGACTTTCAGCAAAGTTAATGCGAAAGCTGATTGGTGAAGGTTAAGGTATACTCATCTACTGCGTGCATACTGGGTATCGTAGCGATATTACACTATGTGGCCACTTTAGATACAAACAGTGCTTAGTGCAGTTCCTTAAGTCCCTCATTTGTGGCCTCATGCCTCGATGATGCCAGTGCCCCCCAGAGAACTGATATTCTTCACTGGTTACAGAGCCCAACCCACAAACTGGCTGCCCTTTTAACATTTAAGTTATGGGAACACTTAAGACGCACTGAGAACGACTATGATCAACCCTGAAGCAGGGTGCCAGGTATCTGCAATACCTACAGTGCTTTTTGGCAGCGAATGGATAAAGCTACAAGACTTCAGCACTCCTACCTGAGCTCGGATCCTAAAGAGTCTGTAGAATCGCTTAAATGGGAAGTATTCCATCTTTCCAGGCTAACAATATTAAACAACCCCTTCTGATAATCATTTTATTTTCAAAAGCAGAGATCAACATGCCCCCCCCCCCTAATATGTACAATTTAGAAAACAATGATTTAAGATAAATACTTCCCCTTTAAATGCTAACCGTGGCAGTTACACAGGCAAAGAATACAAATGATCTATTATGAAGCAGTAGCATCAGGAACAGCAAGCTGTGCCATATGGGGGGGACAACAGATTTCCTTTTGTGCACAAACACGCAGATTCTGACGGTAGGTTGTGTGTATTCCTTTTTGAACGTCACATGATGTAGTACCTGAATGCGTGGCACCTTAATCACAGACATCTTAATGTGTTAACATGCCCACGTATATTAATATATACAGATGTGACTACAACGTGAATTCAAGAACACCAACACAAAGGCTTCTTACGCCCTGTTCCTGCACATGGCTCGTGCATGTTTGTGCTTTATGCGCAGCAGAGAGCTCCCTGGTGACCCTGACATTCTATGTTGGAGGGCACGCTGGCTGCAAGGAGGATGATGCCCGACAGGAACTGGAAATGGAGGCAGTAGCTGCAGTCACCCACAATCCGTGCAGCTCCTCACCTCTCTGCCAACAGCACACACAGCTGGGCCTTGTGTGAGTATCCGTCAGCAAGTGAAGGCACACTGGGCTGTACCACCCCACCCGCTGTTCCATGCTTACTGGCTGAGCCCGGAGGATTTCTGCTGTCTGCTGGCTCTTGGGGCGCCGTAGAGAGTGACTGATGCTATGTGGTTGTTCTGCATCACCTTAAATGCAAAGAGAGGAAAGTTAAAAACCTTACAAGGCTGCAGAGAAGATACAGATATCTTAAAAGGAACTTAAGTCTTATCTAGAGGCAGGGCCAGCTGTACCCGCCCCTCCCACATCCGTTTCGCCAGTCAGTGCTGGAGGATCGGAGCGGGGAGGAATCCCTTCAGGGAGCCATGACTGACAGTCACGGCTCTCTGCAGAGACATGATCGAGAAGTGAGCGAGCGACGGTATGTGTTCGCTCACTTCCCAATCTATTGAGCCAACGTGTGACAGTTTCATTGTCACACGTCGGCTCGAACTATGAGGTTGGGTGAAAATCACTCACCTCATAGTTCTCCTTTAAGGAGTATTTCGTAGGGACCAGGACTGTGGTATACGTGTGCTTTTGCTTGTCACATTACTTCTAACACCTTTTTTTTTCCTTGCGCAATTTTTTTGCCGTTTAATGGTAAACAAGAACTTAAGTTTTTTTTTTTTTTTACCTCAAAAATCATCCTCTGCAAACCAAAACAAAAAGTTGATCCAAACGGGTTTGTATTGTTTGGCGATGATGATCTGAAAAGAAAAAGGGAAAAAAAAAAACATGATTTGAGGTTCTATAAAACAAAACAAACAAACACAAAAAGGTAATTTTAGTTGGCTTTTGTCCGAGAATCATTGTATGAAGCCATCTGCTTTCAATGGCTGCAAAAAAAAACACCTCCTGACATCCTAATGACTTTGAACCTGATGAAGAGCCATCTCAGGAAGAAGGATTTCTAGCAGTAGTTTCCCCATTTCCAGTCTGGCCCAGATACATTTTTGTTGGTTAAAAATGAATTGCAGTCAATAGAATTACTACTTCACGATAACTTTGTGCTACTGTCCAGTTTGCTGAGGTCAGACAACAAAATGTGCAGGTTTACCTAACTCAGTCCAATATACGATATGAAAACACAAAGCACACAGCTCACCCCTATCATGCGTCCCCGCAATCCACACTTTGTGCATGAATGACTCTCTTCTCGATTAATAGGCTCAAAAACTGGAGAACCAACACACGATGATCTTCCAAGGAAATTCAAACTTTATTCCACATGCATCTGTACAAAGAACAACCGCTGACGCATTTCTGCCTTACTCAGCCCTAGTCATAGCAGCAAGGCCGAGTAAGGTAGAAACACGTCAGAGGTTGTACTTTGTACTGATGCATGTGGAATAAAGTTTGAATTTCTTTGGCAGATCATCGTGTGCAGGTTCTACAGGTTTTGAGCAATTTACGATATCTGCTGAATCAGCAATTTTTAGCTGCATTAAATGTAGTGTGTTCATCTACAGGAGCATCTTCGGCTAGAGACCTGCAGGGGTCTTACAAATATAATGCAATGTGATAACCAACCTGCAAATCACACAATCACAGCAGGGACCCCCTAGAAAAATTACAGTGTTGCCAAGGACAACCCCTTTACCCCAAAGCTTCAAATAACATGCAATACAACGCTACCCCAGGAGATTACTATGTTCAAAGGCAATTTCAAGTCAAATATAAAAAGTCAGCATTTAAACTAAGCAAAGTCAAATCACTTCTGTCTAGTGTGTTAATGTATGTTATGTCGTGCATTGCGTTGAGGCAGCACATTCATTTTGAATGGGCTGCCAATGCATCCCAGCACAGCGTCCATTGTCTTAGTGAGTTAGGGTGACATTCAAAATGAATTGCACTGTGAGAATATATACCCGGCCCACCACATAAAGTAAAATGTGTTTCATGCAGAGATTAGCGACCTATAGACATTAGAGAGTGGTCATATACACAGACATTTACCTGTGAAGGACGACTGGCTTCTCCACTGGGTGCCCTAGATGTTCTTGAATACTGTCCCACTGCAATACACACACACATACGGAATTAGTTTAATGTTCGTAGTCTGGGCATAGGTGCACGTTAACACCAGTATTGTTCTATTTACATATTATTAACATGCAGTAAAAGAGCTTTAAAACAAGCCCTCCAGCTGAGTTTAAAGTGAAGTTATTCCTTCACAAAGGTCCTCCAGGATCACAACAAGATCCAAAGACTATACACTTGGTTTCAGTGGGCTTCTAACAGCTTAAAAAACCTGCTGTGTGTTCGCGGGCTGGCAGCCTGCCAAGATTCTGTTCACATAAAAAAGCTAAGATTTTAATGCACATGTTATAAAATGTGAAAATGAATTTCTCACCAATGCTTATAGATACAGATATAATGGAGGGCTCAATTTAACGTGCTTTAACTGCTTGTTCAGAATATGTGAAATACTTTAGTGTGCACTTTAAGCCTTCATTCACACTAGAAAAAGGCGGCACGTACAGCTCCGTGCACAGCCATATTGAGCAGCTACCGAGAAGGACAGGTGCCGTGTGTGATTAGAACGCAGCCCCCGTCCTTCTCTATTGTATCTTTAGCTTGGCTGTATTTGGTGTGGGGATGGACTGGGGGCCCCAGCGTGCATTTTGGATTGCTGGGCCTCCAGGTCATCCCTGTATCGTTAAGAAGGAGTGGGCTCCCTCCAGGCATACCTGCATTCAATTTATCAACTGCTTATCTATGCTCCAATATGGAGACTCACAAAAATGAAGCGTTAGGACCACACTACACAGAGGAGCCTTGACGGGGCAGTGCGGCTTCCACATATTTTTTCCAAAAAGTTGTGCAACTAGAACTTGTGTTTTTAACGCATACTGTTAGACGGCAACTTGTTTTGTTGCAGGCTAGCCAGTAAGTGTGCTGGAAACTTCTGTGTTTTGTATTAATGTTGTAAGCCCTTCCATGTGCACCTTGCTACAAAGGCTGGTTATAAATTATGCGGTTGCTTTGTAACTTAATGTTGTGAAAAAAATGCAGCATTGAAGCATTTTTACATAATGCACTACAGCCCACCTCAACGCAGCGTAAGGGTGGGAACACGGCACATAGAAAACTATTGTCTTCTATGTGTCCTGGCACTGAGCCTGCACCATTGATGTAGAGTATACGAGTCCTCAAAGTCGTTGCTCTTTTCTTTGCCATCTCAGAAAAGTTAAGGTCAGTAAGGGAGTGCCGCTCTTACTGCTTCTATGTAAAATACAGCGGTAAGAGAAAATTCACCCATAATGTCTGCAGCAGGGGGTGAAGCTGGGACTTCAGGTGTAGAGATCCCACTATCAAAATCCCCAAGAGATATAAAAAGCCAGTTTGTAATTCCGCCAGCTAACATCAATCTAGCACTAAAACACCAGCTTTGGGTGGACCGGCTGTAAGGAATGGTATCTCACCTTGCTGTATGTGGTGCAGACTTCCGTTTGTGTTTCTGACCTATCTGTAGGAATAACAGAAAACTGGGTTACCTCATACAGCATGGCCACATGGATAGAGAGCCGTCATGGGGAACAAACATATGCACCTTACCTCTCTTCACTGTCAGGGGAATCCGAAAGTCACAGCGATGATAACTAAACAAAAAAAAGTTACACATTTCACATGATAGAGTACGAATAAAATATAATGGACATGACAAGTTGAAACATGATAACAATCTAATGCTAATAAAGATATCCGTTTCACAAACAGCATTCAATGTAAAAATAGGAATTATTATACACCACATGGCCAAATGTTTGTGGACACCTGACCATGACACCTATATGAGCTTGTTGGATATTCCATTTTAAAGCCATGGCCATCAATATTGAGTGCCACCCCCCCCCCTTTGTGGCTGGTGTATGTCTGTTGAATTTATGTCCATTCAGCAAAAACAGCATTTGTGAGGCCAGGTACTGATGTTGGATGAGAAGCCCTGACTCGCAACCGGTAAACTAATTCATTCCAAAAGGTGTTTAATAGGGATGTGTGCAGGCCATTTAACTTCCACCACAACAAACCTATCGATTCATCCGTTTGTGGAGCTGGCTTTGTACACGGGGCACTGCCATGTTGCAACAAAAAAGGGTCTTTCCCAAACTGGAAGGCTGGAAGCACACTCTAAAATGTCTTTGTATGCTTGTAGCATCAAACAGTACCCTTCGCTAGAAACACCTGAACTCATTCATTTAGATGGATGTCATCATAGTTACATAGTATTTGAGGTTGAATAAAGACACAGGTCCATCAAGTTCAACCTATTGCGTGTATGTATGTGACTCTGCATGGGTATGCGTGTATATGAATCCCTGTGTGATTTTTTTTTTTGTAGCCCTGTATGCTACGGTCTCTGAGGAAATTGTCCAAATGCTTCTTGAATGATTCCACACTCTTAGCTGATACCACTGCTTGTGGCAGAGAGTTCCAGACCCTAACTGCTCTAACTGAGAAGAAGCCCCTACGCCCCTTGTGCTTAAATCTTTTCTCCACCAATTTTAGGTGGTGGCCTCTAGTCTTTGTTATGGAGTTTACCATAAAATGTTTATTGCTGATGTTGCCATCACCATTGAACATCAAGATAGTCTCCTCACTTCCAGCGTGAACATGTTTAAATTTAGTAACCTTGTCTCATAGTAGCTTAGGTCCTCCATCCCCTTAGTTTAGTTGCCCTTCTGTGGACTCTTTCCAATTCAAGGACATCCTTTCTTTGGATTGGTGACCAAAACTGGACCACATACTCCAGATGAGGTCGAACCAGCGATCTATAAAGTGGCACAATTATAGATTTGTCTCTACAGTATATTCCCTTTTAAATACAAGACAGGACTCTGCTCGCTTTGTTTACTGCAGCCTGGCACTGCAAGCTATTATTCAATCTGCGGTCTACAATGACTCCCAGATCTTTTTCCGTTTCTGACTTCCCTAGTGGAGTTCCCATTAATGTGTATTCCCTTTGCCTATCATTAACCCCAAAGTGCATTACTTTACATTTATCAACATTAAACCTCATCTGCCACATTAATGCCCACTCCCCTATTTTATCCAGGTCCTCCTGTAATGTTATAATGTCTAAGTCCGTGTCTATTACCCTCCCATTACATGCATTGGCCATATTGTGTATATACTGTAGACCAATCATACAAATTTAATGCACATGCATACAACACAAGCTGCAGTATTACTCTGGGGCAGGCAGACTTGCTGCGTGCGTGAGCACAAGGGATACAGCCAGGAAGCCTGGAGAGGTCCAGAGGGTCGGTGACCCTGAGATACCTGTCGGGGAGACAGAGAGGGACAGTGACCCATGAGGGGTGAATGCTAAAAGGCTTGGAGCTGAGGAAAACTGCTGAGAACTGTATTTCCAGGGCAAGTCCTGGGACTATCACACTGGGAGTGTATGGGACAGCCAGATGGCAGTGAGACCCAAAATATGATGTGTTGATGAGAGTCAAATGAACTGTTATGGTTTATTTATGCTGAAGAAAAGCAAGTTGTTTTGTGAAGTTCATGGACGGTTCACCTTTTGAATGAATAAAGACTGTCCCTTTTTATGTTAAAGTCGGCTTCAGGAGTGGTCTCTTAGCGCTCACCATTGTGCTATATTCCCCAAACTATTACAGGGGAAAAACCCTAAACTTTAGTTGTATATAGGTGCCCACCAGGTCCCTTGGTCATGACTAACTTCTTAACTTGAATCTGTTTGGCTGGCGGTGTTTCAGAGTCCCAGACACCTATATAGAGGGACAGAGATTTTGGACCATACATTGATCACATTTATGTATGGTGATAATTGGACATTGTCCCTCCCGCATGGTAAGGTCCGACCAGTTTTAAGAGGATTATCTGCTAAATATTGTGTAAGTATGTACTATGTATAGATAGATCGATAGATGGATGGATGCAGTTACATTATGTATGGATGGATGTAGTTACATTAATAATTACTCAACCAATGAACTTTCTTTTTAATGATTTATGAGACACTGGATTTGTTTTTGCTCGGACTTATGTGGCCGACGGTAACTCCATTATATATAAGATACAGTGATCCAGGCTAACTATCATTTACAACACTTTTGGAAGTCCTCTCAAATAAGAGACGTCAAAAGTAATTTTACTATTTTGAATTTCAAAGGATGGATAACAACCATGTGGAATATTGAGCATTCTCTTCAATTGGGGTGGATACCTTACTGGCTTTACACAATATCTGACCTGCACACTTGGCAAGTTTTATCATCAACCTCATCCAGAGGTTTCTTGAGGGAATGACCAATGTGCAGCTGAACTAGATTTCCCAAGCACATAGATGTTCATGCCGCATGACCAATACATCATTATGGTTTTTGTGGCCAGTACTCAGATTATACCCTGGATTCTAAACTACTGAACTCTTGACAGTGTCAGCCCTCTGCTAATCTGGTAGCCCACTCCTTTAAAGTTCTCAACCCAGAAAGTCTAAAAGCATAGGTAACAAGCTTGCCTATCCTAATTATACACACACAATGGAAGCAATCCGTAATAATATATATTATTATATATATTATTAAATATATAAAATATATATTTTATATATTTCTAAATCATTCAGAAAACAAATTACTCCTACCACTGCTCCAAACCTATGGCAGCATCCTGAAAGGGTCTACGACCATTCAGATATGGGAGAGTACATCTCATATTTTTTATCAGTGAAGTGACACATCTATTAATGTATAAGGGTTCAGTCATGCCAACCCCATTGGGCTTATTTGCCCAACACAGTCCCAATGCAAAGACGAGAAAAAAAAAATCCTTGCTTTGTATAAGGCCTGTTCACACCAATGTGCTGAATGGGCTGCACTGCAATAAAATGATGCAGGCATACATTTTATCATGACACAACACAACACATGACACAAAGCAAGCACAAGCGTTGTTATATAAAAGCATCGCAGTCCAATAGTTTAAACGTGCCCTCCGCTGTATGGTAGAAACAAGAATTCATTTTTTTTATACAACTGGTACATTTGACTACAAGGCACACATCAACTCACATATTAAAGTTGTAATGTCCGGGATAATTTGTATGCAAAACAAACTTCTTGGCCCTGTGGGTGGTTGCATCAAAAAGAATATCCTGCAAATGAGAGACACAAGCAAAGATTAATTGCGATTCAAATTACAGTATGGAGAGTGAACAGTCATATCAATCAAAAGTCCAATGAGCAGGAAGGGGAAGAAAAACATTGCACTTCTGCCCTAGTAAGTAGTGGTATCGTTATACTGACTCTATAGTGTGTGAATCACAAGACTGACTGAACAGAAAAAAACATGTACATATTTCAACTATGTATTTAGCCAGTTGGCTGCAGTTCCACTTAAAAGAGCTCAGAGGAGCACTGCAGTATATCTAAATGGTCTCCTTAACACAATGCCACTGTAAATTCATAGACACAACAAGCCTCTCTGTGTGAAAATACTGTTTTTGAAGGCCACAGGGCTGTAATAATCACTAAAATGCAGAACATTTGAAATCATTCTTCACTCTTCTTTGAATTCCCCTCAACAGCAAGTCACTGCAGGTACATCTGAATCGTACAAAACTTGATTCCTTACACATGGGAGTCTACCGCTGTGGCACTAGACTAGCGGTCGCCAGGCTTTCGCACCTCATGGACCACTAAATTCATCATTTTAAATCCCGTGGACCACTAATATGATTTTTTTTAAAATATATATA